ATATATATGTCAGTAAAATAATTATTTTAGTTATTTCTGCATTATGCTTTCTGAATTGATATTTTCCATCTATATATCTTTGTTTTATAACATTTTATAGCTACATTTAAGATTTTAAAATATATATAAGTAATTCAAATCTAAATAAAACAGATAACAAGATGGTATACCTTGTTTTACCTTTTTTGATTGAACAGGTAGCGCTTTCAGAAATACCTAAATGTGTCTTGATATTTTCTTCTCGTAGAGGAACACAGGTTAGAAGTGGTGTAGACAAAATGTTCGTCTGTGATCTTTCTTGCGATCCTAGTATATAATCGATAGAATAAGAAAGAGGAGCTTGGGTTGGTAAGCATGTCCCAGAACCCTCAACAGCTTCAAAGCCAACTGTCGACATTTTGCTTTCGGTGTATGGAAAAGTAACTGGATTGTTTTACGATAAGTGGTGCGAAGTTGCGTGTACTGAAGTACGAAATGTGCCTGCTTATAAACCTCAACAATTATATAAGCCAAACCAGCAACTGCCAATCAAAAGGAAACAGTGTCTGTACTATGTATCCATTCAGATAAACAAGGCACGTCACGCGAGTGTGATAAAAGCAACGGGATGAACCAGATTTTCAGTATCAGGGGTTATGTTATATGTTGGTTTAAACCATGTTAAACGCTCACAATTTTATGGTGAGGATAGTTCATTCACTATTAAAACATTTTACTGTGTTTACAATACAGTTTTGCAATATCATTGCAAATTGTTAAGGTAATAAAATACAGTATTAGAACAATTTTGCTACTGTAAACTATAATTACAGGATTTACCACATATTAATAACAGGCTACTTATACTGTATTTTATTTGCGTGATGTAATCATTGTATTTCATATGCATTCAAAATATTCCTGTAAAAAGGATTTTAGATTACTGTAAAAGTATATAAGAGTGTAAAATGAATGTTTTAATGTTTGATATTTGTGTAGATATTAGTCAGAATACGTCACCTTTTATAGTAGTTTAAGCCATTACAATACAATGAAAATATCAAGTCCATGCCCCGAAACTTTGATCTAGAAAAACCGCGATGGCGCCCGGCAAGGAATAATATATTACCTGATATTGTTATCTTGTTTTTATTCTGCTATTATGTATTTATGTGTGGATTTTGCAAATGTATTTTAATGTAAAATGACAAATACATTATACTTAATACTGAATTTTACCTAATGCTAATCATGTCCTTTCCACTAATGTATTATTTGAGGTACATTTTAACACGTCATACTTTATTCATAATCATTCGATTTTATAACTCCAATTATAATGTGAAAAATATATTAATTAAACACTATACTTTACAAGGATTGATAATTTAATAATAGTAGATTTATATAGTGCACATATCCGATTATAAAAAAACTACTAAACGCGTTTTTCCTGGTTATTGGATGCAGAGGGTGCAATATCCTCCTCTCAATTGGGAGTATTTTTAGATATGCATGTAGTTTAGCACTACTGATAATCATTCACCACCTACCAGGTATCATTTTATACTTCTGGGTAAAGAAAGTCAAACGTAGATGAAGCATCTTGTCCAATGATACAGTCGGTGTGAAAGCATCTTTAGATTGAAAACTCATCTTAACGCTATGCCACCTGCTTCGATCTTGTGTACCATGGGTAGGATGCTTCACATCCCAATCCAAGTATTCGCGGTTCAGTTCATGTCTTAATTTACAACTCCACTCAATAAGCCCTGACAAACTAAGTTGCCCCAACTAAACCTCATGAACAGAATTCCCACTTGGTTGGTTGGCATATCCTTGCTCATTGTTCCACATTTTAATATTTTCTTTATCTTGGTGTTCATGCCTTTGCTTTTAATTGAGAAGAATACATTACCGTTTGATTCTTTTTGTCTGGAAGACTATGTTTTCGACTTAAATACTGGCTTAAATTTAAGAAACCTAATGCTAACTGTTACAAATACAAATAATTTATATTCGCTGATTGAATCAGCTATTTTGATATTTACAAAGTATATTCATTGTTGAGGTTTAATTAATCCTTTTTCACCAATACGACTGTTATTAGCCTATAAGATCCGGTTTTTGTTTTTTAATACTGTAGTTGTTTGAAATGCATTTATATATTCATTTATTTGTTCCCAGGTTAAACATAATATTGAATTTACATTTTACTAAGGGAGGTAGTGAAAGAAATAGTAATTTAAAAAAACTTCAAGAAATTTTATTATGCTAACAGACAAATATAATGATATAAATCAATAAAATGCTTTTAGGTAAATCAGGCTTTGCTTCAATTATTTTGTGTGTGCTGCACAAAATGTTAACAAGTTTGGTTAATTTTGTTTCCATGCAATGTTAATTTTTATTTACAAATAAGCTATATTATTTATTTATTAATTAGTTTCTTTAGTAATGTAAATTTTGTTATTGAGGAATAATTTTGAAAGATCAAGGATAAATATGATTTAAATAATTCAATCATGTAGATGTGAAGTTAGAGTTGGCATGATTTTTAAAATCATTCTGCGATTTACTTAAAGTATTTACACTAAAAAATCTGTATTACTGTAAATAAAATAGCCCTATGGTATTGTAAACAAGGCTTTAAATTATTATAGAGTACAGTGTGCAGTATCAATGCCACTGTACATGTTAATAATGAAAAACAAGGTGTAGGTATTTTCTTTAACAAAGCAACTGAAGACAAAAAGACACAAATGTTTTTATGCAAAAGGCTGAATTAATTATGACTAATGCTACATAAGATATATAATTGTAGTCAATGTGAATTATGAAAACATCAATCAAACACAAAATACACATGCCAGTGAACATTTGAACTTGTTTAAACATGCAAGATGGAACTAAATGAAAAAAAAAATCAGTAAATAAAAAAGAGACATAACGAAATAAAGATGAAAGAATATAATGGTTAAATTTGAAAGTGTATAATTTGAATAAACAAATCCTACATGAACAGTTTGCTCTAATTCGGAAAATAAGCTCAACCATAGATATGTACCATGAAAGAAAAAAAACAGTCGAAAAAGAATTATGTAAACTAGAAAGTGAAAAACAAATACTGGTAAATATAAACAGAAGTGAGTGGGCTAGTGTAGCCTCGATGGTTTCCCGTATGATAGGCAGAATTTACATTTTCTTTTACACCTTAAAAAAATGAGTATACACGAGCAAGGTATTCCGAAGGAGTGCCCGCTATTTTTCAGATGTTTTACTCGAGTCATATAGTTATTACGCGCTCTCATTGTCTCTGCCAAATTGACCTATTTTTCTGAACTTTGAATCCTTAAACTTTAGGATTTAAACATGTTTCCAACAAATTATCTTTTGTCTGAAGTTTTCTCTAAGGTAGTTCTCTTTTATTTTCTCTTAAATTTAATTTTGAAGACCACAATTAGAATAATTTCATCTTTTCAAAACAAAGACTTTACACTCTATCAGATATTTTCATTCCTTGAATTACACTATATTTTTGTGTTTGCATACATATTATTAGTGTATGTATTTATCGTGTTCTTCTGTTACATAATTTTCCATATTTTTATTTATCCGCCTGGGTTGTCACAGCATAGCCTACTTTTCCTTTCTTTTACCGCGATTATTATCCAAATATTACGTGTTTCATGAAGAATCAGAAGTAAAAGAAGCTTAGATAAATATTCCTTTATACTTTGATTATTTGATTTAATTTAATTTAATTTACTGAAACTGCTTTTAATTGTCTTCTTAATGATATTCTTTCCTTTATTGATAACGGCATGGCTGTGGCACTCATTCAATTGGATCTCCGCTGCGTTTGATACAATTGACCATTCTATTCTTTTTCGTTTTTTTTTTTTTCATTTTTGCTTCTCTGATTTTCCATATTTTTATTTATCCGCCTGGGTTGTCACAGCATAGCCTACTTTTCCTTTCTTTTACCGCGATTATTATCCAAATATTACGTGTTTCATGAAGAATCAGAAGTAAAAGAAGCTTAGATAAATATTCCTTTATACTTTGATTATTTGAATTAATTTAATTTAATTTACTGAAACTGCTTTTAATTGTCTTCTTAATGATATTCTTTCCTTTATTGATAACGGCATGGCTGTGGCACTCATTCAATTGGATCTCCGCTGCGTTTGATACGATTGACCATTCTATTCTTTTTCGTTTTTTTTTTTTCATTTTTGCTTCTCTGAAATTGTTCTTCCTGGTTTACGTCTTATGTTTTATCCCGTTTTTGCCATTTCTGATCCATTTTCTAAAGACACTGACCTTCAATGTGGTGTTCCCCAAGGAAGTGTGCTGGGTCCCCTTCTTTTTCTACTCCATATTACCCCTGTTGCAAACATTTTACATTCTTATAATGTTAAGTATCATCTTTATGCAGATGATATTCAAATTTACCTTCCTTTTTATCCTTTCACCGAAACCATTTTATTTCAAAAACTTCAACTTTGCATAATGAAATTAAAACATAGATGTTCAACAATATATTAAAACTGTTTATAAGTTTATTGTTTTCTTTTCTAAATTCCGCACTAGACCTCAATTTCATTTTCTCAATACTGATGAGGTTGTTATCAACCCTGTGTTTTCTGTTCGAAGTTTAGGTATTATTCTTGAACAATCTCTCACATTTGTTCCTTACTGTATGTCTCCTCTGTTTGTAAATCCTCGGTTTTATTTATTCGAAACACCTGGAGAATTCGTAAGTATCTTAGTTCCAAGTCTACTGAAACTTTAGTTCATGCTTTTATTTCCACTAAGTTAGATTATTGTAATTCATTGCTTGTCGGTTTGCCTGATTTTGTTACTCATCCTTTACAGAAAGTTCAAAACTCAGCTGCCAGGATAAGTTTGCTTACTCTACGTAAACAACACATTCCTTCCATTCTTAAAGACATTCATTGGCTTCCCATAAAACAACAGATATAATTAAGGTATAAGGAAACATTTATTTTAGATTCTTTTAGTTTGGATTCTTCATATTATTACTATTCTTTTAAATAAATGTCTGTAACTATTATTGTAATATATCTAAAAACATTATTTAATTACTAAAATCTAGTTGTAATTTTTTGAATTTTTTGATCGTTGCTGTTTAATATAATTGCATTTACTTCGTTTCTACTGTTTAATGTAAAAGTGTGATTTTATTTATTTTTTCTACATCGATTTGATTAAACCAAAATTCTAAATGGGCCACATGAAGGTAAAAATCCTCCACTCCACAGATGGTGCTAAAAGCAAAGAGCACTGTAAAATATACGGTAAAGTCACTATTTGGCACATGAATGCACAATACCGGTATCGCTAACAGAGATTGCTTGTACGCCGAAATATTAGGTATATTAGGTCTACTTACAAAATTAGATATTTCAAAGGCATGATACGCACAGTAAAATATTTATTTAGAAAGTCAAATGTACACATATGCCTACAGTAAGTCACCATATTGATTTAAATCATCTTAGAAAATATTCAAATCGAATATAAACAAAAAATCTTTCAGAGGATATTTCTAAATTTTAGAAATGTCGGCTGAATACAGGGATATGTATTTAGATATGATACGTTCAAACTTGAGGATGGACATCAAGTTCGAACTCTGCACTTGCGGGTTCAGAACAATATATTACTTCATACGAGGAATATTTAAATAGCTTGAAAGTCTATTATGACCGAGATACAAATAAAGGAGTACGTTTAGAAGCGTCAGAGGCCGTACCACCTACTAAAAATAGACCTAGTACTTGGCGATAACAACACCATCTGGTGGTGTGTAATATCGAAAAAATAATATTAAAGGAAGCTAAGGTAAATTAAATATGGTGCCAGGACTCTTTTAACCACGCAAGATGGTCAGTAATTTTTTTAAGCGGATCTGGATAATAGACGTAATTTCATTACAGAATGCACAATCCTTCGAAGGATTTAAATTTTTCCTTAATTTATTGCATTTTAAAGTGTCGTAGGCCTACTACTCTAACATCCTAATTTTCTCGCCCTCTTTCATGGAGGTGTAATTTTCGCTTACTCTACCTCTAAATGCTTTGAGATTTCACTACCAAATGTGGTTTTCTTCGCAAATTAGCTCCAATTTCATTAAGTATTTTAACATGTATTTTATCTACTTTTTTGTTTTCTTTATGATCAAATGAATAAAGATTGAATTGAATACATTTCAAAATATTTTCAATGCCTGGTGTTGTAATTGTGATGTCAGGAATGTCGTTATTTAAGAGTTCTTCTCTGTGGCTAATGATGCAAATCTCCCATCGGATGTTATTTTTAAAATTGACACGCCAAAACCTCCTTTTTTTTCAAAAAAATCCAAAATGGTTTAGTATTGTTAACTTTAAGGCTTCCCCCAATGACATCTCATAAATTTTGTATACCTTACGAATCTTCAGTCACAGGACGAAAAAGATTTTTTTCTGTCATGCTTATCATACCGTTTACCCATGGAAGATCCCATGGTTCAACATGTAAACACGGTTTGTAGATCAGCTCAATTTCCCTTCATAACATCAGTCGCATCAGAAAGAATATAAATATTCACATTGCTGAAATAGGCCTACTCATTTATTCTTTTATAACTTCAAGGCTAGATAATTGTAATTCCATTTCGTACGGATTGAACACGTCACGCATTAATAAATTCCAACGTGTCTAGAACAATGCTGCTCGACTCATAACTCTGAAAAGAAAAGGAGATCACATAACTCCAGTACTGAGGGAACCACATTGGCTACAAGCTAGGGTTGCTTGTTTTCAAGGCCCTGCATGAAATTTCACCGGTTTATATCAGCAGGCTTGTGACCCCTTACAAGCCACCTCGATCAGGTCTCCGCTCGGCTGATCTTTCATTGCTCTCAGAGTACAGACCTGACAATCTCGGGGGATCGAGGGCTTTCAAATATACTGCTGGAAAAGTCTGGATTCAGCACCCACAAGACGTCCGAAATTTGTCAACACTTTGTGAGTTCAACTCTGAACTTAAATCATTTCTGTTTATTTCTCATTTTGATTAACTACAATAACTGTCTGTTTTACCTCCCGTTTTTCACAGGCCGGCATTTATTTTTGGGGCCAGTTTCTCGATTACAATTCCTGAGCACCCGGTCGTCTGTTGTAGGGTAAATGTGTTTCCAATTCCTTTGTTCGAGCCACCTAGGCAGAGGTCCGGGAATGCACCATGGTGGTGATGGATGGTGACCGAAGAGTATTTGCGTCTTTGTTTTTGCCTATCTTCACATCCATGTCAGTTATGTCGTAAATAAATATTCATAAAATAAATAAATAAATAATTAAAATAAAATAAATAAATTAATTTTAAAAAATGCAGAAAAAAGGCGACATGTACACTCTGCAGGTGGAAAACGGCACCGCGAGCAGCTCTACCAAGAGATGAATACGTGCGCCTAATAAG